AAGTCAAGATTCGGCTCAAGATTATGGAATTTGAGTTGTAGGCATTTTTAGCTTCCTCGGCCTCTCCTACAACTATTTCATCGCCTAAGAATCCCCCAAAACCGTACTTTCCCCCGTACCGAGCATGTTTGTCACCACCATTTCCTCATAAAGTCAATATTGTATTTTTTCTTTATCGGCAGTTTTCTCAAAACGCGACTTTCCTCTATACTTTTTAAAAATAACTCCACCATTTTTCATCCAATCTTCACGAAATTTTAGAATGAAGAGAAGATGTAATACTAAAAATGTGTGTGTTGAATTTTTTATATATGGAATAGATTTTCGTTGGTGGTGTCTGGAGTGTGGATTTTCACGGATTTTTCGCAAACTTGAATGCTACCTCAGAAAAAAATTCATTACAAAATTTCTAAATCGTTTAGGAAAAAAACCAAACGACAAATTTTTAGATATAATGTTTGTTAATACGTATGCAAAAAAAACAATCAATTTCCATAATCAATAAATGCAGTATTCATTATGTAAGACATGTCAACAGAATTCAATATGGCCGCTGTATCCATGGAAAGGAAACTTTTTCACAAATTTGATTGCAGATTTTAAGACTCCTTACTATGCTTGTTATATGTGTGAAATTTGGTAAAATTTGGTCTATAGTAATAAGCGAAATAGCCTTCAGGTGTAGCCCCCCCCCCCCCTTTTTTTTTTATTAAACAGCGGGATCTTAAGCGAACAGGGATTGTAAGCGGTTGGATCTTAGGTGAAGACTACTTTATATCATATATCTATGAGAGAATATTTCTCCTTTGTGAACAACGGTTAAACGAGGCATTTTGCCTTATCCACTACCACTTCCGGTTCTGCAAGTACTGCGGTTTCTTTCCCTGGACTGATACATCTAGGTTAGGTATGTGTTCGTTGGGAACGGCAGTCAGAATAATTTACAGGGGAGGAACCGAGAACAGCGCAGCTCTAAAAGCGCAAAGGTCAAAGACGTGGGAGCTGGGAGCCGCGAGAGAGCTAACTTGACCCGATTCTGCTATATCATCGTCATTCGCGGCACTTGTTCAGTGTTCAGTCGATTCTGCCTCTATTCAGTCGCTTTTTAAGAGCACACGCATAGTTAACGTTTGTGGCTACTGTTTCTAAAGAAATTCAACATGGTGAAAGCAGTTTGTGTGTTAGCTGCCGGCAGTTCAACTAGCATTACTGGAACAATCACATTCACTCAGGAGGTAACTATCTCGGTCTCAAATTCAGGTTCTAGACAAGGCTAACAACCAGATCCTAGATCCTAGTCCTAGAGATCTGGGATACGCTGTTACTGTTGACGTTGTAGCCTAGGCCAGAATCTGGACAAGGCCTCCTGTCTACTTTTATGGCCTTTATTTTATTTGTACAACAGCTCAGTTTACAGAAAAGCATTCTAATACTTGTAATTTTTATGAATGGAACTCTAACTAATCTAGATTAGAATAGATCTAGATCTAGATATATAGATCTAGATCTAGACTCTAAAAGCTAGATATCTAAATCTAGATCTAGATCTAGATCTAAAGCTAGATCTAGATCTAGAAATATAGATCTACCCGGCATAGCGCCATAGCTGCTATGCCTTCAACTTGGAAAGAAAACATGATTTTGTTATTGATTGCCGTTGTTTACTTGGTTCTCTGGATCTCTAGATCTCTAGTTCTCTAGATCTCTAGATCTCTAGATCTAGAATCTATCTCTCCTCTGAACACATGGTCTCTTCTGGAGAATTCTAATCTAGATCTAGTTCTAGGTCATTTTCTTGGTGGTAAACAAAACCAAGGTCACTGAAAAACTGGGACAGTTCAAACAGAAAATTTCAGATGGCAGAGATGGATATTAAATCTCTCTATTTCTATCTCTAATCATTCTAATGACTAGATCTAGATCGAGATCTACTCTAGATTTAAAGATCGTCTTCTAGATCTAGAATCTAGATCTAGATCTAGTTAACAAGAGAAAGTGGAAAGATGGGTGAGACTGCTTGGGCTTGGAATTTAATAGATCTAGATTCTAAGTCTAAGACTAAGATGAACTGTGGTAGGTTAATAAGGCTTAATCCTCTATCTAGATTTACCCTTATCCCTACCTAAAAACCTAACTTAACTTAATAGAACGGGAAGATTGAAGAATACCGGACCACTCATTATTATTGAGCGAGAATGGGGGGGTGGGAGGAAGGGGGCGGTGGGGTGGGGTGTTATGGGGGGTCTCCCCCCTGACAAACTTTTAATGAAGGCTGATGTTAGGGGGACCGTACGCCCCAATAGCGCTTGGCGCTAGGGGACCGTACGCCCCCATAGTGTTTGGCACAAGGGGACCGTACGCCCTACCTGCGTTAAGGCGTGGTGTTACGGGACCGTACGCAGATATGCATGCATCTGGACTTTGCAAAAATACTGGAGGAAAACGGTCACTTTAACGAAGCTCCTGACGTAAGGAGTTATTACTAGGACTAGGAGAATGTTTAAAATATATGAATACGATTGTGAGGTATCCAGTGGCCGTGGATGAACCAAATTTTGAAATTTGCTCACGTCTGCACCCACGTTGTTGTTATGTGTCAATAAAAGAAATCAAAGAGAGGGAGGGGGAGAAAGAGAGAGAAAAAAGAGAGAGAGAGTGTGTGTGTGTGTGAAAAACAGACAGAATGGAAGAGAGAAAGAAAGAAAAAGTAAGAAGGAGTGGGAGAGAGAGGGGGAAAAAGTGTGAGTATGTGTGTGTGTGTGTGTGTGTGTGTTAGAGAGAGAGAGAGATGAGGGAGGGGGGGGTGTTCGTGAGAGAAAGAAAGAGATGAACAAATTTACACAAAGGGAATGGTTGTGACAAAAATGAGTAGGATTTATAATAGTTTGTGTGCGCAGGTGCATTCTGCGGGCAGACGTGAGTACATTTTTAAGCTTTGCGACCTAAAAGAAATAGGCCCCTAAGCCCCATTT